GGTTTTTTTTTTTGGGGGATATCTGGGGAATGCCGGGAAATTCCAGAGGGGTGGAATGGAGGAAATGCTGCGTCGGGAAGAGGGAGCCTCCGGAAAACGGGATCGGAACTTACGGGAGCCAGGGATTTATCCAGGCTTTCCGTACTCGAGGAGAATTCCTGGGAAAAGCAGGAAAAGGGGATGTGGGGCAGTTTTTTGGGGGGAATGTTTTCCATAGGGAAGAGGGGAAGGAGCAGGGAAAAGGGGGGAGAAAAAGCAGAGTTTAGCTCCAGGTGCACCTCCAGCAATTCCCAGGTTGTTTTGGTCCCATCCTCTTGGAATCACCAGGAAAATTCCGGGAAGGAAAATCCCTCGGGTCTCAAGGGGGATGGGATCAAAGCGGAGCAGATCCGAGCGCTGGATTCCCGGGATTCTCCCGGATTTCCTCCTCTCCGGGAGCCCAGAACGACCAGGATGGATCCAGCTCCGAATTCCTGGGATTTCTGATCCCTTTTCCACCACCAAATCCACGATTTTTCCTTCCCTGGATTGCGATTTATCCCGAATTTCAGCACATCAAACGAATCCCATGGAAACGATCCCGAAAGTTCCCACAATCCCAATTTCTGAGGCCCTTTTTACCATGGAGAAATTCCTGATTTATCCCAAGTTTTCCTGCCATTCCCACATCTCCCTCCAAGCTCCATCCCAAGCGATTCCCATCCCAAATATCCCAAAATTCCAGCGCTTGGAGTCCCTCAATTCATGATTTTCTTCCTAAAAGGGGTCCAATGGAGCTTCATCCCATAAAAACCAGGAATTTTGGGGCTAAAATTCCCAAAAATTCCTAAAAAATGGGACAACCAGGTCTGGATCCCACCTGGGGGGAAAACTGGTGGGAAATGACCCCAAAGTTCACCAGGGGAGGGAAAATTTGGGATGATTTTCCATCAATTTTCCCTTCCCTGATGAATTTTGGGACCATTTCCCATCAATTTTCCATGGAATTCCTGGATTCCAGAGGGAGAAGCCCCCGGCGCTTCCAAGGACTCCGGGAATTCTGAGGGACAGTCGGGACCCAGGGCTGGAGCCTCCCTGGGTTTGTGCCTTCCCAGCTTTTTCGGGATCGTTTCCAGGAGCTTCCTCATCCATAATTTATGGAAAGGCTCCGGTTCCCGCCTCCTCCTTTTCCATATTAAAAATTCATCCCGGCGGGAACGGCCCCGCATTTTTCCGGGGTGTTTTGATCCCGAATCCGGCCTGGAAAATTCCTTCCCCATCCTTCCTTCCTTCCACCCTCATCCCAATTCCCAGAGCCTGGAACAATCCTTGGCTCCTTCCAAGGCTTCCCAGCGGAATTCCCAGTGGAATCAAACCTTGGTCTCCTCACCCATTTCTCAGGAATCCCAGGGAATTCCCAGCCATTCCCAGTTTCCCTGGGGCGCATTCCACCCCCTGGAGGATTCGTTTTTCCCAGATCTGGGAAGCGCCGCTCCCAAAATCTGCTTCCAGCACCAGCTCGGGGCTCCTTTCCCGTCTGGAATTCCCAGCTCATCCTGGGATCAGCCCTGGAGCACAACCCCAGTCCCAGAGGAACTGGGATGAATCCCAAGGAACAACCACGGGATTTTCCCAACACACCAATCCTTGGAGCAGAGCCCCACAGAATTCCCTCAGGAACATCCCAGACTTTACCTTTTATTCCTTGCTCTCCACCTTGGGGTGGCTGGCTGAGCCTTGCAGCTCAATTCCAACCCCAAAGGAGCTCTGGGATGAATCCCAAGGCACTTCCACCTCCCTGGATCAGCTCTGGGATGAACCCCGAGGCAGGACCACGGGATTTTCCAACACACCAATCCTTGGAGGTCAACCCCATAGAATTCCCTGAGGAACACCCCAGACTCCACCTCCGACCTTGGGATGGCTGGCTGAGCCTTCCAGCTCGATCCCAGCCCCTCAGAATTCCCTCAGGAACATCCCAGAGTTTACCTTTTATTCCTTGCTCTCCACCTTGGGATGGCTGGCTGGGCCTCGGAGCACAACCACAACCCCAAAGGAACTCTGGGATGAATCCCAAGGAACAACCATGGGATTTTCTCAACAAGCTCAATCCTTGCAGCTCGATCCCAACCCCTCACAATTCCCTCAGGAACACCCCAGGCCTCACCTCCGACCTTGGCATGCCTGGCTGAGCCCTGCAGCTCGGTCCCAACCCCTCAGAATTCCCTGAGGAACACCCCAGGCCTCACCTCCGACCTTGGCATGCCTGGCTGAGCCCTGCAGCTCGGTCCCAACCCCTCAGAATTCCCTGAGGAACACCCCAGGCCTCACCTCCGACCTTGGCATGCCTGGCTGAGCCCTGCAGCTCGGTCCCAACCCCTCAGAATTCCCTGAGGAACACCCCAGGCCTCACCTCCGACCTTGGCATGCCTGGCTGAGCCCTGCAGCTCGGTCCCAACCCCTCAGAATTCCCTGAGGAACACCCCAGGCCTCACCTCCGACCTTGGCATGCCTGGCTGAGCCCTGCAGCTCGGTCCCAACCCCTCAGAATTCCCTGAGGAACACCCCAGGCCTCACCTCCGACCTTGGCATGCCTGGCTGAGCCCTGCAGCTCGGTCCCAACCCCTCAGAATTCCCTGAGGAACACCCCAGGCCTCACCTCCGACCTTGGCATGCCTGGCTGAGCCCTGCAGCTCGGTCCCAACCCCTCAGAATTCCCTGAGGAACACCCCAGGCCTCACCTCCGACCTTGGCATGCCTGGCTGAGCCCTGCAGCTCGGTCCCAACCCCTCAGAATTCCCTGAGGAACACCCCAGGCCTCACCTCCGACCTTGGCATGCCTGGCTGAGCCCTGCAGCTCGGTCCCAACCCCTCAGAATTCCCTGAGGAACACCCCAGGCCTCACCTCCTCCTCGCTCTCCACCTTGGGGTTGCTGGCCGTGCGCTTCAGGTTGCTGCTGAGGCTGATGGACACCGTGGCGTCCGACTTGGACCTCTGGTGAGTCCGTTTGGAGGGGGACAGCCCCGTGTCGGCGCCAGCCAGGGCGGCGCCCAGCTCCCTCCTCCTGCCCGCCGGCTTCAGCTCGTCGGAGAGGATGAGCCTGCGGAGCTTGGTGCCGCGCGAGTGGCGCTGCGTGGAGATGTGCATGTCCGACGAGTAGGCGCCCAGCAGCAGCGCGCACTGCAGCGAGAAGTCGATGCTCTGGCGGCAGCGGTGCACGATGTAGGGCTTGATGGCGTCGCCCACGTCCTCGTCCATGTGGATGTACATGTTGAGCAGCTGCGGCAGGTAGAAGTCCACCTCCTCGTGGCGGAAGCAGAAGAGGCGGTTGCCGATGTAGGCCTGCACGCCGGGCTCCTTGGAGTTGTACAGGTAGGAGATGGCCATGGAGATGTCGAAGAGCTTGGACTCGAAGAGGCGCAGCAGCCACGACTGCTTGGCCTGGTTCTGGTGGCGCCGCCGCGCCGTCCTGGCCGCGGCCGAGCCCTCCTCGTCCTCCTCCTCCTGGATGCGCGGCGCCTCGTCCAGGCAGCGCACGGGGCAGCTCTGCCCGTTGGGCACGGGCTGGCAGCCGTGCAGCCGCTGCACCTTCTGCAGCACCTCCTCGCACGCCCGCTGCGCCACCTCGGCGTCGATGAGCGCCAGCTCGCCCACGCCCTCCGTGATGACGCCCAGGGGGGAACCGCCCGGCTCCGGGGGGCTCCGCGCGGCCGCCGGGTCGCCCATGGCGGAGCAGGGGCTGCGCGGCTCAGAGCTGGGGAAACACGGGGGGAAAATGGGAGAAAATGGGGTTAAATCGGGGAAAAATTGGGATTTGGGATGGGATTCAACAGGAGGAACGGAGCAGGGGCTGCGCGGCTCAGAGCTGGGGAAACACGGGGGGAAAATGGGAGAAAATGGGGTTAAATCGGGGAAAAATTGGGATTTGGGATGGGATTCAACAGGAGGAACGGAGCAGGGGCTGCGCGACTCAGAGCTGGGGAAAAACGGGGGGAAATGGGGTTAAACTGGGAAAAATTGGGATCACAGGTGGGATTTGGGGTGGGATTCAACAGGAAGAGCAGTGGGGCGGCTGCAGGACTCAGTGATGGGGAAAAACAGGAAAAAAATTGGATTAAATTAGGAAAAAATCGGGATTAAAAATGGAAATCAAGAGGAGGAGCAGCAGAGGGCTCAAAATTAGGGGAAATTGGGAAAAAATGGGAAGAATTGGGGTTGGGGTGGGATTTCGGATGGAACTCAAGAGGACAAGCAGTGGAGGGGGTGCAGGACTCAATGAGGGGGAAAAACAGGGAAAAATTTGGATTAGGGATGGGATTCAAGGGGAGAAACCCAGGATACACCTGAAGGGAAGATGGATTTTTTCCCTGTTAAATAAAGGATTTTTCCCTGTTAATTTCAGATTTTTCCCTGCTATTTTAAGGATTAGTTTTATCCCTTTATTTTTCCACCTCCCAAAGAAAGGAGGGAAAAAGCCCTCAGGAATTTTCCTTAAATATTCCAAGTGAGTCAAACCAAGGTCACCTGCCAGATACCACTTCTTTTTTTTCTCTTCTTTTCCTCTTTTTTCCCCACTTCCTCTCCAAGAAATCCAGATGCCGAAATCCTGATCAAAGTCTGAGAGTTTGGCTCTGTTCCCCCATTCCCAGCACTCCAAATCCCACATTCCTGACATTTTTGTGGCTGTTAGATCCCAAAAACCACATGAGAGACAGAAAAAATCCCTGACGCTCCCATTTCTCAACGAATCCCAAAAAAATGGGGGTGGAAATTCGGGATTCCACACTTCCCCACAGTTCCCACCCCTGTTTTTCCACAAATCCCAGATTCTCCTCCTCTATCCCACTCCCAAATCCTGACATGGCTCCAACCCAAAAATTCCAGGGATCCCCTCCCTTCCCAACGCGCTGGGCTCATCCCAAAAAAAACACATCCAAAGCTTTTCCCTCTTCCCAGAAACGCCTCAGGATTCCAAAGCCTGGAGCAATCCCACAGTCCTGGAACTCCCTCCTCCCATGGATCACACTCCGTACACAAATCCCCAATTTCTGAGGTTTTCCAAGTTTTTGTTTTTCCCAAAGGTTGGGAAATAAACTGGGAAAAGGCAGGGGGCAAAAAAAGCAGGATAAAAAAAGCAGGAATCCACATCCCCACCTGGATGCCAAGGGCGGCTCCCGGGCTGATCCCAGCATGGACCCTGAACCGTGGGACCATAAATTACCCAGGAAATCTGGAGCAGGGATCGCCCAGGAAACCAGGAACAGAAATCTGGCAGGAAATTCAGGAGCACAGCCCTGAAATCCCACTCAGAATTCCAAGGAAGAAATCAGGGACTGATTTCAGCAGATCCAAGGGATCCACACCAGGAACGACTCCAAAACCTCAAAAAAACTCTTCCAGCACCGGGAAAATAAAAGCTGCAAAATCCCCTTTTCCACCCAGTTATTCCCTCCCAGATTCCACGGAAGTGAATTAAAAGGGAGGGATTAAAAGCAATTATTTCACATTATCCATCTTTCCACCAACTCCAGCCGAAGTTTTCCAGGGACAGCATTCCCGGGGGGATGAGCGACCCCCGCCAATCCAAATTTGACGCAACCCATGGAATTTCAGAGGGGATTTTGGGCAATTCCAACGCTCCCAGCGGCCCCACATGGCCCCGGGAGGGATGAGGGGGGAAAGGCTGGCGAATCCCCCTGAGGAACAGCGGCTGGAAACGGCTCTGGAAGGGGAATTGCGCCACTTCCCCCGCGGGGAGCGGGGCCCCGGCAGCGATTCCCTGGAGAAGGGACGGGACAGGGCTTCGGGAGAGGTACCTGGAGCGATCCCATCCCGCGAGGCTCCGCTCGGCCGGCCCGGCCCTGCGGCCGGCGCGGGCGGCTCATCCCGGGCACCGGCGGCGGCTGCTGCGGGGAGAGAGAGGCGGAAAAACACCGGGGATCAGCACCGAGCCGGGAAAAGGCCAAACCCGGCCCCGCTCCTGCGCCACGGAGCCGGCCGAGCAGCAGCAGCAGCAGCAGGAGGCGGAGGAGGAGGAGGCGAGGCCGGACGCGGCCGCGGAACCGCCGTGGGGACCGGGCTGAGGGGGCGGAGGAGGCCGCGGCAGGGCCGGCGGGGGCGGCGGGGCCGGGCTCACCTCGGCGGGGCGGGGAGGAGCGGGGCGGCGGGGAGAGGCGCGGAGGGGCCGGGAGGGGCCGGTGGAGCGGCCGGAGCGGGGCCGGGAGCGGGGCCGGCCGGAGCGGAGCGGGGCCGGTGCAGCCTCGCCAGGCCCGGCCCGGCGCCGCCTCACGGGGCTGAGCGCCCACAGCGCCCCCTGGCGGGCCGGAGGCGCGGGAAATGGGCGGGGTCTGCCGCCGGGGGCGTGGTTTAGGTATTTATAAGAGCGTGGGGGCGTGGTCTAAGCACTAATATGGACAGTGGGGCGGGATCTGCCTAAGGAATAGGGGCGTGACTTACAGCGCCAGGGGGCGTGGTCGATACGTCGGATGCGGAAGAGAGCGCGGTTTATGTACATATATGGTTAAAGAGGCGTGGTCTCACTGTGCTTGGGGGCGTGGTCTCCATAGGGAAGCAGCCCAAGGCGCCCCGCGGGTTCCTCGTTTACCAAAATCGGCGATTTCGGGGCAAAATCGCCTCGGGTGTCGCTGTCACCACCTGGGGCGGGTGGGACAGGTTGTCCCCCCTCTTGTCAGTGTCCTCTTCCACTGCGCCGTGTCCCCTTCCTGCTCCCAGAGTCCCCTCCCCATTGCCAATGTCCCCTCCCAGTGCCAGTGTCCCCTTCCCAGGGCCAATGTCCCCTCCCCGCTCCCAGAGTCCCCTCCCCACTCCCTGTGTCCCCTCCCCAGTGCCAATGTCCCCTCCCATTGCCAATATCTCCTCCCCAGTGTCAGTGTCCCCTCCCAGTGCCAGTGTCCCCTCCCCGCTCCCCGTGTCCCCTCCCAGTGCCAGTGTCCCCTCCTGGTGCCCGGGGTCACAGACACACAGCCGCACGGCAGTGACTGGTTTTTACTGGTTTTTACTGGTTTTTACTGGTTTTTATTGGTGTGACGCAGGGGACCCCGTCCCTGTGCCCGCCCCTGTGTGTCCCTGCGTGTCCCCGAGGGGGGACCCGGCCCGGCTGTGACCGCGCTGTGCCAGGGCCGCCGGTGCCACCCTGGTGCCCGTCCTGCCATCCCTGATGACACTGACACGGACGGGAGGGACAGGCCTGTCCCCAGGATTGGCACTGCCACTGCCAGGCCTGTCCCCACGGGTGGCACTGCCCCTGGACGGGCAGTCCCTGACAGGGATGGTGGCACTGCCACTGACCGGTGTGTCCATGATAGGGGGACTGCCAGTGACGTGCCTGCTGTCCCCAAGGGTGGCACTGCCCCTGGATGGGCACTCCCTGACAGGGATGGTGGCACTGCCACCCACTGACCCGGCTCCAACAGGGAGGGTGGCACTGTCCCTGGATGGGCACTCCCTGACAGGGACGGTGGCACCGTCCCCAGACAGGCACTCCCTGACAGGGATGGTGGCACTGCCACAGGCCAGCGTGTCCCCGAGGGGGAGGATGGCATGGCTGGGCACCCTGGACTCCACGATGGTGGCGGTGACCCTGGGGATGGAGTCCCCAACGAGGACGGTGGCACTGACGAACACGGGCGTGTCCACGATGGTGGCAGTGCCCCGGGACAGGCTGGCCCTGACAGGGACGGTGACGCTGCCCAGGATCCTCCTGTCCACCACGGTGCCGCTCAGGGTCACCAGCGCGTCCACGATGGCGGCGGTGCCCCGCGACGGGCAGTCCCTGACGGGGAAGGTGGCGCTGCCAGCGCCCGCGCTGTCCCCAGCGGTGCCCCAGGCCCAGAAGGGGATGTCACCCACAGGGACGGTGGCACTGCCGGTGACGGGCGTGTCCACGATGGTGGCAGTGCCCCTGGATAGGCTGTCCCTGACGGGGACAGTGGCACTGCCAGGGACCGGCCTGTCCCCAGGAGTGCCACTGCCCCTGGAGGGACAGTCCCTGCCAGGAGGGGTGCCACTGTCAGTGAGCAGCCTGTCCCCAGCGGTGCCACTGTCACTGACCGCCCTGTCCCCAACGGTGCCACTGGCAGTGAGCAGCCTGCCCCCAACGGTGCCACCACCACTGACCGGCCTGTCCCCACTGGTGCCACTGGTAGTGACCAGCCTGTCCCCAATGGCGCCACTGTCAGTGACCAGCCTGTCCCCAACAGGGACAATGGCAGTGCCAGTGACCAGCCTGTCCCCTACGGTGCCACCACCACTGACCGGCCTGTCCCCAACAGGGACAGTGGCAGTGCCCCTGGATGGGCTGTCCCTGTCCCTGATGGGGACAGTGGCACTGCCAGAGACTGGCACATCCCTGACCGTGCCACTGCCCCCAGCTGGGCTGTCCCTGGCAGGGACAGTGGCACCGCTCCTGCCTGGCCTGTCCCCAGGGTCAGGGGCCCTGGGTGACCTGTCCCTCATGGGGACGGTGGCACTGTCCCTCATGGGCATGGTGGCACTGTCCCTGACCAGCCTGAGCCCGCTGCCACTGGCCCTGGGTGACCTGTCCCTGATGGGGACACTGCCACTGCCCGGCCTGTCCCCAGCGGTGGCACTGCCCCTGCCCGGCCTGTCCCCGCTGCCATTGTCTCTGGGTGACCTGTCCCTGACAGGGATGGTGGCACTGCCCCTGCCTGGCCTGTCCCCGCTGCCACTGTCTCTGGGTGACCTGTCCCTGACAGGGATGGTGGCACTGCTCCTCACTGACCTGTCCCCAATGGTGACACTGCCCCTGACTGACTTGTCCCCAAGGGTGGCACTGCCCCTCGCTGACCTGTCCCCAGGGGTGGCACTGCTCCTCACTGGCCTGTCCCCAACAGCAGTGGCCCTTGGTGAGCTGTCCCTGACAGCGATGGTGGCACTGCCAGACACTAGCTTGTCCCTGACAGGGACAGTGGCACTGCCCCTGGCTGTGCTGTCCCCAGTGGTGGCACTGCCCCTGCCCAGCCTGTCCCCAGGGGTGGCAGTGCCCCTGGCTGCGCTGTCCCTGACAGGGATGATGGCCCTGCCACTAACTGGCCTGTCCCCAATGTCACTGGTCCTGGATGAGCTGTCCTTAGCAGGGATGGTGGCACTGCCCCTGGCAGCGCTGTCCCTGACAGGGATGGTGGCACTGCTCCTGACTGACCTGTCCCCGGTGGTGCCACTGGCTCTAGCCGACCTGTCCTTGACAGGGACAGTGGCACTGCCACTGTCTGAGCTGTCCCTGATGGGGACAGTGGCACTGCCCCTGACCAGCCTGTCCCTGATGGTGCCACTGCCCCTGCCTGGCCTGTCCTCGACAGGGACGGTGGCACTGCCCCTGCCTGGCCTGTCCCCACTGGTGGCACTGTCTCTGGGTGACCTGTCCCTGATGGGGACACTGCCACTGCCCCTGCCTGGCCTGTCCCCAGTGGTGGCACTGCCAGAGACTGGCCTGTCCCCAGTGGTGGCACTGTCTCTGGGTGACCTGTCCCTGCTGGGGACACTGCCACTGCCCCTACCTGGCCTGTCCCTGACAGGGACGGTGGCACTGCTCCTGCCCGGCCTGTCCCCGCTGCCACTGTCTCTGGGTGACCTGTCCCTGATGGGGACGGTGGCACTGCCCCTGCCTGGCCTGTCCCCAGTGGTGGCACTGTCTCTGGGTGACCTGTCCCTGACAGGGATGGTGGCACTGCTCCTCCCTGGCCTGTCCCCAGGGGTGGCACTGCCCCTGCTCAGCCTGTCCCCAGTGGTGGCACTGCCCCTGGAGCTGTCCCTGACAGGGACAGTGGCACTGCCAGTCACCGGTTTGTCCCCAGTGCCACTGCCCCTTGGTGAGCTGTCCCTCCGAGGGACAGTGGCACTGCCACGGACAGGCTTGTCCCTGACAGGGATGGTGGCACTGCCACTGACTGACCTGTCCCCAGGGGTGGCACTGCTCCTCACCGGCCTGTCCCCAGTGGTGGCACTGGCCCTGGCTGAGCTGTCCCTGACAGGGACGGTGGCACTGCCACCAGCTGGGCTGTCCCTGCTGGGAATGGTGGCACTCCTGGTGACCGGCCTGTCCCCAACACTGCCACTGGCTCTGGGTGAGCTGTCCCTGACAGGGACGGTGGCACTGCCAGTGACAGGCTTGTCCCTGACAGGGACAGTGGCACCACTGACCGGCCTGTCCCCAGTGGTGGCACTGGCCCTGGCTGAGCTGTCCCTGACAGGGACGGGGGCACTGCCACCAGCTGGGCTGTCCCTGCTGGGAATGGTGGCACTCCTGGTGACCGGCCTGTCCCCTGTGGTGGCACTGGCCCTGGCTGAGCTGTCCCTGACAGGGACGGTGGCACTGCCCCGGGATAAGCTGTCCCCAGTGGTGGCACTGCCCCTGGCCCGATTGTCCTTGACTGGTGTGGTGCCACTGCCACCAGCTGGGCTGTCCCTGACAGGGACAGTGGCGCTCCTGGTGACTGGCCTGTCCCCTATGGTGGCACTGGCCCTGGGTGAGCTGTCCTTGACAGGAACGGTGGCACTGCCACCAGCTGTGGGGACAGTGGCACTTCTAGTAACCGACCTGTCCCCACTGGCACTGGCTCTGGGTGAGCTGTCCCTCCTAGGGACAGTGGCACTGCCAGGGACTGGCTTGTCCCTGACAGGGACAGTGGCACCACTGACTGGCCTGTCCCCACTGGTGGCACGGCCCCTGGATGGACTGGCCTTGACAGGGACAGTGGCACTGCCACCAGCTGGGCTGTCCCTGCTGGGAATGGTGGCACTCCTGGTGACCGGCCTGTCCCCAACACTGCCATTGGCTCTGGGTGAGCTGTCCCTGACAGGGACGGTGGCACTGCTGGTGACAGGCCTGTCCCCAGTGGTGGCACTGCCAGTGACCGGCCTGTCCCCAGAGTCATCAACCCTGGCTGGGCTGTCCCTGACAGGGCTGGTGGCCCTGACAGTGACCGGCCTGTCCCCAGTGGTGGCACTGCCAGTGACCGGCCTGTCCCCAGTGTCACTGGCCATGGGTGAGCTGTCCTTGACAGGGACGGTGGCACTGCCAGTGACCAGCCTGTCCCCAGTGGTGGCACTGCCAGTGACCGGCCTGTCCCCAGTGTCATCAACCCTGGCTGGGCTGTCCCTGACAGGGCTGGTGGCCCTGACAGTGACCGGCCTGTCCCCAGTGGTGGCCCTGACAGTGACAGGCCTGTCCCCAGTGTCACTGCCCTTGGGTGAGCTGTCCCTGACAGGGCTGGTGGCCCTGACAGTGACAGGCCTGTCCCCAGTGGTGGCCCTGACAGTGACAGGCCTGTCCCCAGTGTCACTGCCCTTGGGTGAGCTGTCTCTGACAGGGCTGGTGGCCCTGACAGTGACAGGCCTGTCCCCAGTGGTGGCCCTGACAGTGACAGGCCTGTCCCCAGTGTCACTGCCCTTCGGTGAGCTGTCCCTGACAGGGCTGGTGGCCCTGACAGTGACAGGCCTGTCCCCAGTGTCACTGCCCTTGGGTGAGCTGTCCCTGACAGGGCTGGTGGCCCTGACAGTGACAGGCCTGTCCCCAGTGGTGGCCCTGACAGTGACAGGCCTGTCCCCAGTGTCACTGCCCTTCGGTGAGCTGTCCCTGACAGGGCTGGTGGCCCTGACAGTGACAGGCCTGTCCCCAGTGGTGGCCCTGACAGTGACAGGCCTGTCCCCAGTGTCACTGCCCTTCGGTGAGCTGTCCCTGACAGGGCTGGTGGCACTGACAGTGACAGGCCTGTCCCCAGTGTCACTCGACATGGCTGGGCTGTCCCTGACAGGGACAGTGGCACTGCCAGGGACTGGCTTGTCGCTGACAGGGACAGTGGCACTGCCACCACCAGGAGAGCCACAACTGGGGGAGCTGGCACTGCCACTGAGCGGGCTGTCCCCAAGGGGGACAGTGGCACTGACTGAGCTGTCACTAAGGGGGACGGTGGCACTGCCACTGAGCGGGCTGTCCCCAAGGTGGGTGGCAGCACTTCCCCCAGCTGGGCTGTCACTAAGGGGGACGGTGGCACTGCCACCAGCAGCAGAGCCATCACCAGGGATGCTGCCACTGACTGGGCTGTCCCCAAGGGGAGTGGTGGCACTGCCACTGACGGAGCTGTCCCCAGGGGGGACAGTGTCATTGCCACTGACCAGGATGTCACTAAGGGGGACACTGGCACTGACACTGACTGCGCTGTCCCCAAGGGGAACAGTGTCAGTGCCATTGACCGGGCCGTCCCCATTAGGGACAGTGGCACTGCCATTGACTGCACTGTCCCCAGGGGGGACAATGGCACTGACACTGACCAGGCTGTCACTAACGGGGACAGTGGCACTGTCATTGACTGAGCTGTCACTAACGGGGACAGTGGCACTGCCATTGACTGCACTGTCACTGAGTAGGATGCTGGCACTAACTGAGTTGTCACTAAGGGGGACAGTGGCACTGCCATTGACTGGGATGTCCCCAGGGGGGACAGTGGCACTGCCATTGACTGAGTTGTCACTAAGGGGGACAGTGACACTGCCCCCAGCCAGGCTGTCACTAAGGGGGACAGTGGCACTGCCATTGACTGCACTGTCCCCAGGGGGGACAGTGGCACTGCCATTGACCAGGCTGTCACTAACAGGGACAGTGGCACTGCCATTGACTGTGGTGTCACTAACAGGGACAGTGGCACTGCCATTGACTGTGGTGTCACTAAGGGGGACAGTGGCATTGCCATTGACTGTGGTGTCACTAACAGGGACAGTGGCACTGCCATTGACCAGGCTGTCACTAAGGGGGACAGTGGCACTGCCATTGACCAGGCTGTCACTAACAGGGACAGTGGCACTGCCATTGACTGTGGTGTCACTAACAGGGACAGTGGCACTGCCATTGACCAGGCTGTCACTAACGGGGACAGTGGCACTGCCATTGACTGTGGTGTCACTAAGGGGGACAGTGGCACTGCCATTGACTGTGGTGTCACTAACAGGGACAGTGGCACTGCCATTGACCAGGCTGTCACTAAGCGTGGCAGTGGCACTGCCATTGACCAGGCTGTCACTAACAGGGACAGTGGCACTGCCATTGACCAGGCTGTCACTAAGCGTGGCAGTGGCACTGCCATTGTCCCCAAGGGGGACGGTGGCACTGCCACTGCCCGGGCTGTCCCCACCAGTCACCGTGTCACTGTCCACCTCCATGCTGTCCCCGGCATCCTCAGCAGCACCGCCGCCCCCCGCCCCGTCCCCGCCGGGCACGGCGGCACCGCCAGCCCCGGGCGACGCCCCCGGGGCCGAGTCCCCTCCGTCCTCCCCCCGGGCCCCCTCGGGCCGCTCGGGTGACGCGGCGCCGTCCCCCGGCCGCTTGCGGGGCCTCCCGCGCCGCCGCTTGCGCGCGCTGCCGTCCGCGGCCGCGCCCTCGGGAGCGCGCTTGGCGGCGCGGCCGCGCGGCTGCTGCGGCTGCTGCGGCTGCTGCCCCTCGGCGTCCCTGGGCGCCTCGGCCGCGGGCACGCCCACGCCGGGCAGCAGCACGTTGAGCACGGGGATGGCGGCGGCGCCCACGGGCAGCGGCAGCGCCACCTTCACGGTGCCCGCGGGCCGCGGCACCAGCACGGGCGGCGCGGGCGCCGCGGCGGGCACGGGCGGGCGCTGCGGGGCCGGGATGCGGGGCAGCAGCAGCGGCAGCCGCGCCACCAGCGCGCTCACCTGCGGGCTGCTGCCCGCCCGCGCCGCCTCCGCCTTCTTCTTCTCCGGCCGCGGCTGCGCGGGCACCTTGGCGACAGCGTCCTTCTTGGCCTGGGGAGGGGACAGGGTGGCACCGGGCTGGGGGAGCCTCCAGTGCCCGGCCCGGCCCGGAGAGGGGTCCCGGGGGTCTCACCTGCTCCTGGCTGCTGTCCGAGGGGTCCGGGCCGTTCTTCTTGGGGGCTGAGGGTGGCCGGGGGTCCTGGGGGGGCTTGTCCGTGTTTTCTGTGGGAGGAGGGGACGTGAGCAGGGTGGCACTGGGGAGGGGACACGGGGAGTGGGGAGGGGACATTGGGAATGGAAGGGGACACTGACAAGGTGGAGGACAACCCATCCCACCCCCCACGGTGTCTGTCCCCAGGGGTGACACTGTCCCCGAGGGGGTTACAGTGTTCTAGGGGGCTGACAGTGTCCCAAGGGAGTGACAGTGTCTGTCCCTAAGGGGGTGGCAGCCTCCCCAGGGGGGTGACAGTGACCAGAGGGAGTGACAGCCTTCCCCGGGGTGGCAGCCCCGGTGTCCCCAGAGAGTGACACCACCGCAGGGGCGGTGGCAGCCCCGGTGTCCCCGGGCTGACCTGAGAGCACCATGGCCATGAGCAGGTCGGCGTGGGCCGAGCGGGGGCTGATGATGTGCTGCTGCAGCAGGAACTGCGCCACCTCCACGATGTTGTTGAAGGAGCGCCGCAGGATCTTCTCAGCCCAGTCACACGTCAGGGCACACGCGGCCTCCGTCACCTCGGCGCTGTACGAGTGCGCCAGCTCGGCCAGCTCCGCCTGCTGGGGACGGGGACAGGGACATCACTGAGGGGACAGGGACAGGGACACTGTCCCTGTCACCTCGGCGCTGTACGAGTGCGCCAGCTCGGCCAGCTCCGACGGGGACAGGGACATCACTGAGGGGACAGGGACAGGGACACTGTCCCTGTCACCTCGGCGCTGTACGAGTGCGCCAGCTCGGCCAGCTCCGCCTGCTGGGGACGGGGACAGGGACATCACTGAGGGGACAGGGACAGGGACACTGTCCCTGTCACCTCGGCGCTGTACGAGTGCGCCAGCTCGGCCAGCTCCGCCTGCTGGGGACAGCACAGGGACAGGAACGGGGACATCAGACAGGGACAGTGTGTGAGACTGGGGACAGGAGGACAGCAGGGAGGGGACAGCAGGAGGGTCACGGAGCAGGGCAGGACACAGGGATGAGCCCATGGAAAAGGATGGGACACTGGGATGGGGACAGGAGGGGACACCGGGATGGGGACGGGATGGGATTCACGGAGCAAAGCAGGACCTGCATCCCACCCTCCCATCCCATCCCATCCCATCCCATCCCACCCCATCCCATTATCCCATGATCCCACTATCCCATTTTCCCACCCGAACTCACCGTCTCGGTCACTTTGAGGTCCAGGCTGGGCAGGGGAGGAAGGCTGACCACGGTCTTCCTCCGGATCCCCCCGTAGCAGTACGTTGGGAAGAGTCAAGGATTTTTCCCAAGCCCAAAACACCGGGAACCAACCCCTGAAGAACCCTCAGGAATGGGAAAAACTGGGGGAAAACCAGGAAAAAGAATAGGCAAAAATGGGAAAAAAATGGGAAAAAACCAGGGAAAAAAAGGGAAAAAAGAGCAGCTGGCACAGGAATTCCAGGCCAGGGAAGGATATTTGGACTGGCCGCGGCCCCCCAGGCGCCGGGCTTTGATGTTTGGGAAGATCTCGCGGATGATCTTGCCAAAGTTGGCTGTGCTCAGCGGGCGGCAGCCCAGGTTGTCACAGTAACGCCTGCGGGGACACCGAGGGTGACACGGATCAGGGACAGAGCAGGGGGACACGGAGCACATCAGGGACAGGGCAGGGGGACACGGAGCACATCGGGGACACCGGGGGTGACACGGAGCACATTGAGGACAGGGCAGGGGGACACGGGGACACAGGGGGTGACACGGAGCACATCAGACACAGGGCAGGGGGACACGGAGCACATCGGGGACAGGGCACAGAACGGTGGGGCAGGGGGACATGGAGACAGCAGGACAGGGGGACACAGAGCAGATCGGGACAGGGCAGGGAACAGCAGGGCAGGGGGACACAGGGACATGGGGCACCAGGACAGGGGGACATGGGACAGCAGGACACGGCAGGGAACGGCAGGGCAGGGGGACCTGGGGATGTAGGACAGCAGGACAGGGGGACATGGGGGACCAGGACAGGGGGTCCTCAAGGACACTGGGACATGGGACATGAGGACAGGGGATCCCCAGGGAGGTGAAGACACGGGGACAGAAGGACAGGGGTTTCTAAGGGACGTGGTGATGTGGGACACCAGGACAGGGGGTTCCCAGGGAGGTGGGGACATGGGCACATGGGCACAGGGTGACATGTGACACCAAGACAGGGGGGTCTTTGGGACACGGTGACACGGTGACACAGTGACGTGGGACAGCCCGGCTCACTTGTAGGCGTCGTAGACGTCCTGCTTGGGCAGGCAGGTGTCCGTGTGCTCCTCCAGGTGGTTGCGGATCCAGCTGCAGGCGTGCATGTGCTCGGCCGTGCCCAGCGTGCTCAGCTCCAGCGAGGAGGAGCTGCCGCTGCTGCTGCTCCAGGGGGGGACAGGCAGGGAGGGGAGCCCGTCAGCACCTCTGTGCCAGCGCTCCATTGGGCATCCCTGTGCCCGCCCTGGGTGAGGGACCTGCCCTGGGGCATCCCTGTGCCAGCTCCAGCCCCATCCCATCCCACCCCAAGGATCCCACCCCATGGATCCCATCCCATCCCATCCCATGGATCCCACCCCATAGATCCCATCCTATGGATCCCACCCCACAGATCCCACCCCCAGGTCCCCCCTGACCTCTTCTCGCCCAGGCTGGGCCCTGAGGGCAGCTGCAGGTACAGGTAGAGTTTGTCGCTGTCCGAGAACTTCTGCACGTCCTGCTGCGCTCCGGGACAGGGACAAGGACAGGGAGAGGAGGAGATGGAGACGGATCCCGTGGGGCGAGCCCCAGGACGGCCCTGCCCTGCCCCAGCATCCCCACAACACTCACCAGGATGGAGTCCACCTTGCTCTGCACGGATTTGCTGCGGGGAGAGAGGCCACGAGTGAGGAACGATCCCAAAAACCCCGGGATCGCAATTCCGGCTCTGCCCAGGGCTCCCCAGGTCCCCCCAGAGCCCGAGTGGGACCCTGGATGGACCCAGGATGGACCCCAGGGCTCAGAGATCCAGGATGGATTCAGGAGGGATCCAGGATGGATCCAAGATGGAATTCCCAATCCCCCACCCCGTGAGCCCCCTTGGGTTGGGGGATTGGAGGAATTCCCAGATTTTGGGGCGCTGCCCTTACGAGATGTTGCTGCGGAGCTCCTGCAGCAGCGTGCTGGACTCGGTGGCACTGCCCCGGGCACTGCCAGCTGACAGAGGGCCCCTCCTGGTGGCCCTGGTGCCCAGCTCCTCCTCCTCAGCCATGGCAGCCCTGTGTGTGTCCTGCAGGGAACAGGAGAACGGGAATTTAGGGTAAAAATGGGAATAAATCGCATTCTGGGTGCCCCTCCTGGTCGCCCTGGTGCCCAGCTCATCCTCCTCAGCCATGGCAGCCCTGTCCTGCTGGGAACAGGGACAATTTGGGGTAAAAAGGGGAGTAAATCCCATTCTGGGCTCTAATGGGAATCGTGGGCACGGACAGGGGCCACGGAAATGCGACAGGGAGACCGGCAGTGACCCCGGCAGGGCTGGGGACAGGGGGACAGCAGGACGGGGGGGCACCAGGAGACCAGGACAGGGGGACAGCAGGAGACCAGGACAGGGGGACAGCAGGACAGGGGGGCACCAGGAGACCAGGACAGGGGGACAGCAGGGACAGGGGGGCACCAGGACATAGGGACACCAGGACGGGGGGACAGAGGGACACCAGGACAGGGGGACAGCAGGAAGAGACCCACAGCGCCACCGGAAGAGACGCCCAGGGACGCGGGGCCATGAGGCCACCGGAAGCGACCCCCGGGGCCGCCGCCGCCCTCCGCGCCCTCCCCGCGGTACCGGGGCGCTCCCGGCGGCCCCGGCCCAGCGCGACCGCGGCGCTCCGACCGGACCGGTACCGGGGGCCGGGACCCGCCTGCCGGGGCCGAGCCCGGGGGTGTTCCGGGCTGTCCCGAGGGTGTCCGGGGTGTTCCGGGGATGTCCGGGGTGTACCCGGGGGTGTTCCGGGGGGGTCCTGGAGTGTTCCGGGGGTGTTCCGGGGGGTTCGGGGGTGTTCCGAGGGTGTCTCGGGGGTGTCCCCGTGGTGTCCCCGGGGGTGTCCCCAGGCTGTTCCGGGGGTGTCCCCAGGCCTGCCCCCCCTCCCCAGCCCCGCACCCACCTGGTCCCGTCCGGCTCGGGGGGCCCCGGGAGGGGGGGGGGGGGGAGGGGAGGGGTCCCGCCACGTGCCCCGCGCCCCCCGCGCGAACCGAAAGTGGACGCGCCCCTCGCTCGCCGCGCGCGCGGCCCCTTCTTTTTTCTGATTGGCTGCAACGGCGCTGGTCTGCCCGGATACGGCAGCACTCGCGGCTGTGATTGGCTGAGCCGTCCCCCCCTCCCCTCAGCTGCGGGTGAGCGCCCGGATGTGGCGGGGCGGGAGGGGCCGAAATCTGCCTGGCAACAGCGATCTGATTGGCCGGGGCGGGCGGCGCGAGGGGAGACGGGTGTGCGGCGAGTGTGCAAACGGGTCACGCGGGGCGGTCACGTGTGAGGGGGGTTGTGCAACGGGTGTGTGTCACGTGCGCGTGTCACGTGCGCGTGTGCAAGGGAGGGTGGCGCGGGGAGGTCACGTGGGGGGGTGGTGCAACGGGTGTGTCACGTGCGTGTGTCACGTGTGCAGGGAGTGTGCAAGACGCGTGCAAGAAGTGTGCAAGGAGAGCTCCGGAGCAGGAAAAGGAAAAAGAAAAGGAAAAGGAAAAGGATTTTCTTTGGATTGATTTCATCCCGCGGGTCACGCGCGTCCCGCAATTCCCAACTCCTGGAATTCCCAAATTTCTGAATTCCCGAATCCCGGATCTCCCGAATTCCCAAATCCTGGAAATCCCAAATTTCCAACTCCGGAATTGCCAAATTCCCAAATCCCAAAATTCCCGGGGCGTGCGAGACATGCAGGGAAGAGGATCTGGAGCTTCCCCACTTTTCCAGGGGCTCCTTTGGAATGGGGAAGGGGAAATCCCACATTCCCAGAGATTTTCGGGGAAGGGAAATCCCACATTCCCAGGGAATTTTTGGGGGAAGGGAAATCCCACATTCCCAAGGAATTTCGGGGAGCTTGCAGATTTTTATCGGGAAGGGGAGAACTGGAAATAGGGGTTTTAATTGCAGGAGGTGAGGCTGAGTCAGAGCCAGCTCAGGATTCGGAACCTTGCCGAGTTTGGGATTTTGGGATTGTGGGATTTTTTTGGGATTGTGGGATTTTTTGGGATTGTGGGATGGATGGGATCTCAAAGCTCATCTGGTCCCACCGTTTGGGCGGCTCCTGCTGGCCCAGGTGGCTCCAAAAGCTGCCCGAGCTGGGCTGGGGCAATTCCAGGGATGGGGCACCCATGGAAAAACCTGGGCCAGGGGAGGATTTATCCCAATTATCCACCTGGATCCCACTTTATTTCTGGGCAAAAACTTCTCCAGGAGCCCACAGGGATAAAACAGGGGAATAAAGGAGGGGAAAATAAAACGGATAAAATGGGGATAAAATGCCCAGCTGGAAGCAAACCCCGGGAAAAGAGGCAGCGCCGGGAATTTCCCCCAGACCCTTCCCGCGGTCCCGGCTCCGCCCGCGGCCCCCCGGGATTTGTTTGTCCCGGGATTTTCCGGGAATGAGCCTCGGGAAGCGGCGGCTGATGCAGGAAACAACTTTATTGATGGCAGGGAAAGCGGGGACAGGGACAGGGACGGGGACAGGGATGGCCCGGAATGGCCCGGGACACCCCGAACCCCGAAATCACCCGAGGGGACCCCAAAGCAGGAATCCCCCGTGGGATCCTAAAGCCCACAATCACCCGGGGCACCCCGAACCCATCACCCGGGGCACCCCACAGCCCCGATGCCCCCCAGCCCCATCACCCGGGGCACCCCACAGCCCCGATCCCCCCAGCCCCATCACCCGGGGCACCCCACAGCCCCGATCCCCCCAGCCCCATCACCCGGGGCACCCCACAGCCCCGATTTCCCCCCGGGACCCCGATCCCGCCCCGGCGCCCTTGGCCGAGCGCGGCGCTGCCGGGGGGGACAGCGGCGCTGCCGGCGCCGCTCAGGGCAGGGTCACGGATTTGGCATCGCCGCCGGGGAGGCGGATCTGGTGCGCCAGGCACGGCCCGTTGGGCTCCTTGCCGAAATCCACCAGGAAGTTCTTGTTGACGCTCAGGCCGCCCTTCTCCGTGTCCACGTCGAGCTGCAGCATCACCGAGCCCTCCCTGCGCGGGGACAGCGGCGGCTCAGGGCGACAGCGACCCCCGGGGCTGCCCCGAGCCCGCCCGGAGCTGCCACAGCAACCCCCGGCCCGCCCCGAGCCCGCCCCGAGCCGCCACAGCGACCCCCGGGCCCGGGGCCAGCGGCACGGGCTGGGATGGGGGCGGCTGGGGTCCGCAATTCCCGATGGAGGGGACAGGATGGGCACAGGGACACCTTTGGGTCCCCAAATCCCGATGGATGGGCACAGGGACGCCTTTGGGTCCCCAGCTCCCTCAGGACGGGCACGATTCCATCCAGGACGGGCTCGGCGCCGTTTCCCCTCCGCAGCTCCCCCAGGCTCGGCTCGGGCTCTGCCCGCCCAGGCCGGACCCCCTTGCGCTGAGCTCGGCCCGGGCTCTGCCCGATCCCGACCCGGCCGGCAGCGGCTCCGGGGCAGCCTCGGGGGGGTCGCGGCCCCTTCCCCGCTCCCACCGGGCCCGGCTAGCCTCGGGCAGCCTCGGGAGGGGCTCACTTGATCAGGCTGGGGTAGAACTGCCGGTCCCAGGTGCTGTAGAAGGAGTTGGTCACGTAGAGCCGCTTCCCGTCCAGGCTCAGCTGCAGCGCGGCGGGGCCGCCGTACACGCGCTTGCACTGGGACACAGGACTGGGGTTACTGGGGGCACTGGGGGCACTGGGACACAGGACTGAGGGCACTGGGGTTACTGGGGGCACTGGGACACAGGACTGGGGTTACTGGGGGCACTGGGGGCACTGGGACACACGGACTGAGGGCACTGGGGTTACTGGGGGCACTGGGACACAGGACTGGGGTTACTGGGGGCACTGGGGGCACTGGGACACAGGACTGGGGGCACTGGGGTTACTGGGGGCACTGGGACACAGGACTGGGGTTACTGGGGGCACTGGGGGCACTGGGACACAGGACTGGGGTTACTGGGGGCACTGGGGGCACTGGGACACACGGACTGAGGGCACTGGGGTTACTGGGGGCACTGGGACACAGGACTGGGGTTACTGGGGGCACTGGGGGCACTGGGACACAGGACTGGGGTTACTGGGGGCACTGGGGGCACTGGGACACACGGACTGAGGGCACTGGGGTTACTGGGGGCACTGGGACACAGGACTGGGGTTACTGGGGGCACTGGGGGCACTGGGACACAGGACTGGGGGCACTGGGGTTACTGGGGGCACTGGGACACAGGACTGGGGTTACTGGGGGCACTGGGGGCACTGGGACACAGGACTGGGGGCACTGGGGTTACTGGGGGCACTGGGACACACGGACTGAGGGCACTGGTGTTACTGGGGGCACTGGGACACAGGACTGGGGTTACTGGGGGCACTGGGGGCACTGGGACACACGGACTGGGGGCACTGGGGTTACTGGGGGCACTGAGACACAGGACTGGGGTTACTGGGGGCACTGGGACACACGGACCGGGGGCACTGGGGGCGCTGGGACTGGATTCCAGCAGGGGCACTGAGAGCAGGCTCAGGCTCATGGGCAGGTGAGCACACACTCACACTCAGGTGAGCACACACACTCACACTCAGGTGAGCACACACACACTCGCGCACAGTCCCACACTCACGCTCACCCCTGGTCCCCCCCCCAGCCCCGCCCAGGCGCGCCGGCCCCGCCCCGCTCACCTTGACCACCAGCGGCTCGGGCTGGCACTTGAGCTCCTCGTCCCTGCACACGGTCACGGGGCCCCCTCGCAGGATGCTGCCCCCCACGAACACCTGCAAGGGCCGCGCTGGCACACGAGCGTTCCCCGGCCCGGCCCCCCGGGCCCCCCGGCCCCGCTCGGCCCCCCGGCCCGGCCCTGCCCCTCACCTGCCCCACCAGCCGCGGCTTGCAGCTCCGCGACAGCTCGTACTGCCGGATGTCCCCGTGCAGCCAATTGCACACGTACAGGAACCGGTCGTCCTGGCTGATGACGAGGTCCACGATGAAGGCTGCGGGCAGAGCCGGGGCTCAGGGGCACGGCCGGCACCGGGGGAGCCCACACGGGCCGGGCCTGAGCTGGGCTTTGGGGCAGGGACCAGGACTTTGGGCTCGGTCAGCATTCGGGCTCAGTAATCATTTGGGGTCAGCCCTGATTTGGGGTCAGTCAGGAGTCGGGGTCACCCCGCAGGATTCGGGGTCTCCCAGCCGGCTCTGGGGTCGCCCCGCAGGCCGTGCCCGGCTGCAGAGCTCGCCCAGCCAACAGGAATGCCACCCCCGAGGGCACACGCACCCGGCATCTTGGGCATGATCCAGCCCGACACGTCCTTGGCCGGGATCCGGATCACCTCCTCCACGGCCCAGTTGTCTCTCTGCACAGGGACACCGAGCCCGGCTCAGCCCGCGCTGCCCCGCCCCGCCCCGAGCCGAGCCGAGCCGGGCACGGCGGGCTCAGCCCCCGCACCCTCCCCGGCCCCGCTCCCGCTCCCCGCCGCCCCGCACTCGCCTCGCAGGATTTGTAGAAGCGGAAAATGGCCCCGCTCAGGGCACAGCCCACGTAGCCCTCGGCGGCCTCGGGGTTGTGCAGGAAGCGCACGGTCATGGGCAGAGAATCCTCGCCCAGGTCGAAGCACTGCGTCAGGCTGCGGCACGACAGGTTCCACACGTTCAGGCGGCGGCCGAAGACCCCTGCGGGACACGGGGGAGAGGCTGGGGGCGGCCGGGGAGAGACCCCCGAGGGGCTCCTGGGGGGCATCGGCACGGGAAGGGCAGGAACCGGGGAGGGGAACTGGGAAATGCAGGAACAGGGGAGTGGGAACTGGGAAATGCGGGAACCGGCGAACTGGGAAATGCAGGAATTGGGAAATGCGGGAACTGGGAAATGCAGGAATTGGGAAATGCGGGAACTGGGGAGATCACAGAGAAATGCAGGATTTGGGGACAACACAGAGAAATGCAGATTTTGGGGCAGCAGGACCCTGCCCACCCGGGGTTCCACCCGCTGCCGCCCGCGTGTCCCCACCTTTCTTGAGGTCATCGGGGTTGAAGCCGCGCCCGGCCACTCTGGGCACCATCCCGGCCGAGCTGACCAGGACGTTGTGCCGGGCCTGGTACCAGAAGTCGTGCCCGGTCGGGGGAGCCTCACACTCGTTCTCCCAGTTGCCCTTCAGCTCGAAGGTCTCTCCGTCCAGCACCACGAAGCCACCTGGGACACACGAGGGACGGGCGGGGACAAATCCAGGATTCTGCATTTCCAGCAGGACCCCCGGGGTGGGAATTCGGACAGGGAAATGGGAATTTGGGCAGGGACATGGGAATCCCGGCAGGGACACGGGAATCCGGGCAGGGACATGGGAATTCCAATAGGGAAATGGGAATTCGGGCAGGGAAAATTCACCTTTGCCGTGGCCAGCGGCGTCGCCCATGTTGGCCACCAGGACGTCGCCGTTGGGCAGGGGGTGGGTGACGGACAGGTAGCCCTTGTTGCACTTCCAGAACACATCCACGGGCTCGATCATCTGCACGAGCCAGCGCCAATTTCAGCCTCTGCCTGCTCGGCACCTTTCCCGGCCGTACCACAGAATCCATCCATCCATCCATCCATCCATCCTCCCTCCCTCGCTGCCCCGGCTCCCCCGGCCGTACCTTGCAGATGCGCGGCGCCCGGCACTGGGAGCCCACATCCACGACGTAGATGCGGGAGGAGATGAGGCACGGCAGCACCAGCTTGGTCCTTTTGGCCGCGGCACCGCCGTCGAAGCAGCCGCAGGCGGGGCCCCAGCCCGCGCAGTGCAGCTCGTCCTTGAGGTTGGGCATGGGCAGCCGGTGGATCACCTGGGCACGGCCAAGGCAGCTCAGGCCGGGCCGAGCCGGGACAGCCCGCGGGGAGCGGCCGCGGGGCCGGGGGAGCCCCGGAGAGGGGCCGGGAGAGACCCCGGAATTGGGGAGCCCCGGAGACGATTTGGGGAGCCCCGGAGAGGGGCCAGGAGAGACCCCGGGATTTGGGGAGCCCCGGAGAGGGGCTGGGGCGGCCGGGAACAGACGGCACAAAGTGACAAAGGTTTTCCTCGGTTCCCCGGCACAAAGAGCTGCCCCGGCGGCCCCGGAGGGCTCGGGGGGCGCAGCCCCGGCTCGGTCCCGCCCCGGGAGCCCGGCACGGCTCGGTACCTGGCCGTAGTGGCAGGAGCGCGGGTTGAGGTCCACGGTGGCCAGGAAATCGGGCTGCTCGATGCCGGTGCTCCTGTAGGTGCAGGTCACGTAGGCGACCTCCTCCCGCGGGGCTGGGGACACAAGAGCGGCTCGAACCGCGCCGAGAGCCCCGAACGGCACCGGGAGAGCCGCGGGCAGCTCTCCGCGATGGCCGCCCCGGTTTCGGGCTGCTGCCGTTCCCTGCCGCTCCCCCCGCGCCGCTCCCGAGCCGGGAACGAGCAGGAGCGACCTCCGGCAGCCCTGGCCGAGGGGCCCGGCACCGACCCCGAGCTCGGGGGACCCCAGAGAGCCCAAACCCCCCCCGGCCCAGCCCCGCCGCAGGGGCAGCACTCGCCTTTCAGCGCGTCGGGGCACGAGGGGTACTCGTAGCACGGAGCTCTGCATCTGTCTGGGGAGCAGAGGGGACACCGTGAGCCCGGCCCGGGCCCGCACCGAGCCCGCTCCGGAGGGGCCCTCCCAGCCCAGGGACCCCCGGGGCCACCGCGGGGACGGGACAGAGCCCGGACGGGACGGGACGGAGCCGGGACAGGGACAGAGCTGTCACAGGACAGGGAGAGAGCTGTCACCCGGAGCTGGCCCAGGACAGGGACAGAGCTGTCACCCGGAGGTGGCACAGGACAGGGACAGAGCTGTCACCCGGAGCCGGGACACGCTGGCAGCTCCAGCTCGGACAATCCCTCTGGATCCCGGGTCCCCGGGGCAGGGCAGGGCCCCCAGCAGCCCCCGAGGTCTCGCAGCAGCTCCGGGAGCAGCGGCCCCGCGGGCAGAGCTCGGGCCCGGCTCCCTGCTCGTGCCCGGGGCACAGAGGCACCTGTGCCAGCTGTGCCCAGGTGTGCCCAGGGAATGCCCAGGTGTGTGTGCCCAGGTGTGTGTGCCCAGGGAATGCCCAAGTGTCCCCAGCTGTGCCCGGAGCCGGTCTCGGGCCGGCGCTGCGGGCCCGGGGCTCGGCGGCAGCCGCGGGGGTCCCTTACCCATGGCTGCAGCTCTGGGGGTCGCGGCGCTGGCGGCGGACGAAGGAGCCGGAGCTGAGGGGCAGCTGCTGCTGTCTCGGGGCTGGAGCGGCTGTGCCGTGCCCTGGCTGCTCCCGGGGGCCTTTTATCCCCGCCGAGGGCCGGCGGGAGCGCGGCCAAGCCCAGGGAGGGGCTGCCCAGCGCTTGGGAGGGGCCGGCCCCGCGCTGCGGCTTCTTTCCTCCTCCCCGCCGCCAATCTGCGCCCAAATCTGCTGCTCGCTGCAGCTCCCGAAGCCTCAAAGCCCGGGGCCGGCCCCGGCCGAGCCCGCCTCGCCCCGCACGGAGCGGCTGCAGCGCCCGCAGCGCCCCCGGCCCGGCCCGGGCACCCCCAAACCGCTCCTGCTCCCGACAGGGGCACCCCGAGCCCAGCGCCAGCCCGGGGCTCCCGGGGGTCCCCGTTGGCCCCGCAGGGTCCCCGAGCGGGCTCTGCCGGGGACGGGAGTTTGGGAGCCCGGGGACACCGGGACGGGCTCGGGGACAGCGGGACGGGCTCAGGGACACGGGGACGGGCTCGGGGACACCGGGATGGTCTCGGGGACAGCGGGATGCGCCCGGGGACGGGGACAGACCCAGGGGACACCGGGGGCCCTCAGGAAATGCCCCCCGAGCCCCCCTGGGGCAGCTGCAGCCAGGGCAGGACACGGGGCGGCCTCCATGGGTGGCGCCTCTGGATGGGGACCTGGGGTCAGCGGGGGACAAGGGGGATTTGGGGAGCTCGGCTCTGGCAATTGGGGCTGGAAGCATCACCCGGGACTTTCCCCAACCCTCTGGTCACCCCTAAGTGTCCCCCAGGCCCTGGGCCATGCCCAACCCCAGCCCCGGGTGCCACCAGCAGCGCAAAGTGGCACCAGCCGGGCTGGATTTGACCCAAACTGGGCTGAAGCGTCCCCAAAGGAGCCGAGATCCCGCTCCAGGCCCCGAGGGCCCGCAGCAGGGTCCCCTCCCGAGGCCACAGCCAGGGACACTCAGCGCCCCGGAATGCGGCTCCAGCCCCGGGGAGGGCGCCGGGACACGGAATTGCTGCCGCCAGCAGCGCGGGGACACCGCCCGGCCCGGCGCCCGGGGACCGGGGACGGCCCCACAGCGGGGACAGCTCTGCCCCCCGGCCGCTCCGGGACAGCCCCGGCACCGGGCACCGGGCACCGGGCACAGGGCATCGGACAGCGAGCACAGGGCACCGGGCAGCGAGCACAGGGCAGGGGGTACAGGGCACCGGGCACCGGGCAGCGAGCACAGGGCACCAGGCAGCGAGCACAGGGCAGGGGGTACAGGGCACCGGGCACCGGGCAGCGAGCACCGGGCACCAGGCAGCGAGCACAGGGCAGGGGGTACAGGGCACCGGGCACCGGGCAGCGAGCACAGGGCACCAGGCAGCGAGCACAGGGCAGGGGGTACAGGGCACCGGGCAGCGAGCACAGGGCAGGGGGTACAGGGCACAGGGCACCGGGCAGCGAGCACAGGGCAGGGGGTACAGGGCACAGGGCAGCGAGCACAGGGCAGGGGGTACAGGGCACCAGGCAGCGGGCACAGGGCACCAGGCAGCGGGCAGCGAGCACAGGGCACCAGGCAGCGGGCACAGGGCACCAGGCAGCGGGCACAGGGCAGGGGGTACAGGGCAGGGGGTACAGGGCACAGGGCACCGGGTACAGGGCACAGGGCACAGGGTAGCGCCTCCCAGGCCTTCTCTGCGCACTGCCAGCGGCAAAATCATGGAAGACGATCGGGTTTGGGGTGGAAAAGTACAGAAGAGGCTCTGTCCCGGGGTCGCCCTTGGCCTCCAGCCCCACCTTGGTGTCCCCTTGGTGTCCCCTGCGCTGTCCCCACGTGCCCGCTCCTCCGTCCCCTGGCGCTGCACACCCGCTCATTAGCCAGCTCATTAGCCCGCCCCTCATTAGCCAGCTCATTAGCCCGCCCCTCATTAAGGAGCCGCGCTGTTCCCGGAGGCTTCCCGAGCTGACGTCGCTCGCGCGTCCCCGCGGCGCTGATAACAGCGAGATAAGCGCGGGCTCAGCGCAGCGCGCGTGGCCGCAGGACAAGCCCGGCACCCTCCGGCCGCGGCCCCCGCCCCGCCGGCCGCTCCGGCTCCTCCGGCCCCGCCGGGCTTGGGGAACGCGCCGAGACGGGCCCCGCTCCGCGCCACCTCGGACAGCTCCCGGCTCCGGCTGCGGCCCCGGCGAGGCTTCGGCTTCCCCTGAGGCTGCCGCAGCGCCGTCGGGGCTCCTTCAGCGCCTCCCGCTCCTAAATGGCGATTCCCTGCGCTTTTGGCCCATTCCCCGTCCTCCGTTCCCGGCCTCGGCCTCAGCCGGGCGCTGAGCACCGGCAGACTTCGGGGAAACGTTTGGTTCACGCACGGAGACCCAAATCGCGCTGCTCGTTCCTCCCCGGGGGCTGCAATTCCACCCAGGAGCGGCCCCGGGGGCTCCGCAGCGTTGCCGGCTCTCCCATCAGAAAACCTCGAGCTCAAATTCCCTTCCGAGCCACGAATTCCCTCATTTTCTGATGATTCTGATGTGGGAAAAGGGCGATTTTTGGGAGCTGGCTCCCGAGTTCACCGGAAAATGTGACAAACCCCGAAATTCCCCGGGCAGTGGAAGGCAGGTGACGCTGGGAGTTTGTTCCCCCCTCCTCCACCAGAAAAAAAACAGGGAATAAATCACATTCGGGGGAAACTGTGAGCTTTTCCTTGGTACCAAACCCGGGGAGGGGCTCCGCTGCAGCGGGAGCGGGGCCGCGATCCCCCGGGTCGGGCTTGGAACGGCACCGAGAGAGGAGATTAATCGCTGTCGCTGTCCCTGTCCCCCTGTCCCCCTGTCCCCCTGCCACTGTCCCTGTCCCCCTGTCACTGTCCCTGTCCCCCTGTCACTGTCGCTGTCCCTGTCCCCCTGTCCCCCTGTCACTGTCCCTGTCACCCTGTCACTGTCGCTGTCCCGGTCCCCCTGTCCCCGTTGCTGTCCCTGTCCCCGTCCCTGTCCGTGCCGAGGGGGACACGCGGGGGGCCCGAACCCCGAACTCCCTCGGGGTCGTTCCAGGGCCCACCCGGGCTCCCCGCACCAGCAGGAAGAGCCGCCCGGGAGGGGCCGCTGCCCTGGGCCGGGTCCCAAAGCTCCCAAAGCTTTGAAGCTTTTGGGGCGAGCAGCCCCCGAGGAGCCGCCGCAGGCCGAGATAATTCCAGGGCGTCTCTCGCTCCTCTGGATCCGCTTGGAATGAGGGACTTGAAAGGCTCGGGGTGGCCTTTCCTCGCTCCACGGGGCAGGAATGTCCAGCTCCAGAGGCTTTCGGGATGGGCGGGACAGATCCCAGATGAATCCCTTCCAAACTGGGGGAGATGAACGCGATCTGCAGTGTCAGGAACGGAGAAATCTGATTTTCCCGGATTATGGGAAGGGGGGATGAGCAGGAGAAGCCGGGAAACTTCCCGAACCGGGCTGGGGGGACGCTGCCCCCACCTCTGGTCATGGAAAAGCCGCAGGTGAGCGCAGGGAGAACCAGCCCGGCTCACCGGGGCGCAGGGAGGGGCAGGAAGTAATCGCAGCCCTTATCAGCAACTTTATCTTATCAGCCGCAGCTTTATCTCCTCCCGGCCAGGCTCACCACGGGAATTTCGAGCTCTCCCAAACGCTCATTTGCTGCGGTTTTTGTAGGATTCGCTGATTTTGGGGGGATTGAGGAACTGGATTTGATGTTCGGAAATAGCGCTGAGTGCTAAAGGGACCTTTAGGAGAATTCCAGAATTATTTGGGTTTGGAAATTGCACCGAGTGTTAAAGGGACCCTTACGAGAATTCCAGGATTTCTGGGGTTGGAAAATCCCTCCAGGATCATCCAGTCCAACGGGGGACGAATCGCCCCCGGTCACCCAGAAAAACGTCCGGGAATTCTCCAGGGGTGGCCTCTCCGAACCTCCCCGGGCAGCCCCTGCCGAGGCCTTTTTCCTTTCTTTCCAGGAAGAATTTCCCCAGATTTACCACCCTGAGCCCCCGCTGGGGCAGGTCGAGGCCCTTCCCTCTGGTCCGGGCCCCATTCGGGCATCAGATCCCAAATCCCTCCGGGCAGATCGCAAATTGCCCGGGATCCCCCTTTGATCCAGGCGGAGTTCCCGGTGTCCCCTGGGTCTGTCCCCGTCCCCGGGATCCCCTGAGCAGCTCCCCGAACCCATCCCGGTGTCCCCGAGCCCGTCCCCGTGTCCCCGGACCCATCCCGGTGTCCCCGGGCCCGTCCCGGTGTCCCCGGGCTCCCAAACTCCCGTCCCCGGCAGAGCCCGCTCGGGGACCCTGCGGGGCCAACGGGGACCCCCGGGAGCCCCGGGCTGGCGCTGGGCTCGGGGTGCCCCTGTCGGGAGCAGGAGCGGTTTGGGGGTGCCCGGGCCGGGCCGGGGGCGCTGCGGGCGCTGCAGCCGCTCCGTGCGGGGCGAGGCGGGCTCGGCCGGGGCCGGCCCCGGGCTTTGAGGCTTCGGGAGCTGCAGCGAGCAGCAGATTTGGGCGCAGATTGGCGGCGGGGAGGAGGAAAGAAGCCGCAGCGCGGGGCCGGCCCCTCCCAAGCGCTGGGCAGCCCCTCCCTGGGCTTGGCCGCGCTCCCGCCGGCCCTCGGCGGGGATAAAAGGCCCCCGGGAGCAGCCAGGGCACGGCACAGCCGCTCCAGCCCCGAGACAGCAGCAGCTGCCCCTCAGCTCCGGCTCCTTCGTCCGCCGCCAGCGCCGCGACCCCCAGAGCTGCAGCCATGGGTAAGGGACCCCCGCGGCTGCCGCCGAGCCCCGGGCCCGCAGCGCCGGCCCGAGACCGGCTCCGGGCACAGCTGGGGACACTTGGGCATTCCCTGGGCACACACACCTGGGCACACACACCTGGGCATTCCCTGGGCACACCTGGGCACAGCTGGCACAGGTGCCTCTGTGCCCCGGGCACGAGCAGGGAGCCGGGCCCGAGCTCTGCCCGCGGGGCCGCTGCTCCCGGAGCTGCTGCGAGACCTCGGGGGCTGCTGGGGGCCCTGCCCTGCCCCGGGGACCCGGGATCCAGAGGGATTGTCCGAGCTGGAGCTGCCAGCGTGTCCCGGCTCCGGGTGACAGCTCTGTCCCTGTCCTGTGCCACCTCCGGGTGACAGCTCTGTCCCTGTCCTGGGCCAGCTCCGGGTGACAGCTCTCTCCCTGTCCTGTGACAGCTCTGTCCCTGTCCCGGCTCCGTCCCGTCCCGTCCGGGCTCTGTCCCGTCCCCGCGGTGGCCCCGGGGGTCCCTGGGCTGGGAGGGCCCCTCCGGAGCGGGCTCGGTGCGGGCCCGGGCCGGGCTCACGGTGTCCCCTCTGCTCCCCAGACAGATGCAGAGCTCCGTGCTACGAGTACCCCTCGTGCCCCGACGCGCTGAAAGGCGAGTGCTGCCCCTGCGGCGGGGCTGGGCCGGGGGGGGTTTGGGCTCTCTGGGGTCCCCCGAGCTCGGGGTCGGTGCCGGGCCCCTCGGCCAGGGCTGCCGGAGGTCGCTCCTGCTCGTTCCCGGCTCGGGAGCGGCGCGGGGGGAGCGGCAGGGAACGGCAGCAGCCCGAAACCGGGGCGGCCATCGCGGAGAGCTGCCCGCGGCTCTCCCGGTGCCGTTCGGGGCTCTCGGCGCGGTTCGAGCCGCTCTTGTGTCCCCAGCCCCGCGGGAGGAGGTCGCCTACGTGACCTGCACCTACAGGAGCACCGGCATCGAGCAGCCCGATTTCCTGGCCACCGTGGACCTCAACCCGCGCTCCTGCCACTACGGCCAGGTACCGAGCCGT